ATGTTCTTAAAAAGTACTAAAAAATAATATATTCAGTAGGAAAAAATAAGGGATCAGGGGAAAATATAATTATAATAAATTAAAAAATAAAATTAACAGGCAACTGTAAATGAGAGACATTCTGCAGGGGAGGGGAGAGAGAAGGACCCAAACAGGGGAGGGAAGAGCACAAGGGATTAGGGTGACAGTGCAAAAGTGAATCAGTGGCAGGAATTCTACAGGAACTACACCTGAGAGGAGAAGGCATGTGCTGTACAAAAAGGAAGAATGATGCAAAATACATATATTTTTTTAAAAAAAAGGAAAAACAGGCCCTCCCTGTTGGCGCAGCGGGTTAAAGCACAGCACTGAGAAGCTGAAGCCACTTCCCTCATGAGTTCGATCCCCGCCTGCCCCAGAGGGGACCACATGGCGCGGCAGACCTCTCCTGACCACCCGCTGCTCCCCTCAGCAGTGTACTGCGTCAATCTGCCTGTTCTGCTACCCACTCTGTCCCTGGTGAGTCCTCTCATCCTCTGCATCTCCGGCCTGCACCCCAGTTCTGTATGAATAAAATAAATAAATCTTTAAAAAAAAAAGCTTAAAGAAAAAAGGAAAAACAAAAAAAGTAATATATTCACATCACTAAGCATAAGATCAAGCTGTATAATGTTTTTATAAAAAATTGGGCCCTCCCTGGTGGCGCAGCGGGGTAAAGCACAGCCCTAAGAAGCTAAAACCACTTCCGCATGAGTTCGATCCCTGCCTGCCCCGGTGGTGACCACATGGCTGGCAGACCTCTCCTGACCTGCTGGCTGCTCCCCTCTGCACTGTACTTCTCTATTCTACCTGTTCTGCTCCCCACTGTGAATCCTCTCACCCTCTGCATCTTTGGCCTGTACCCCAGTTCTGTATGAATAAATAAATCAATCTTAAAAAAAAATTACAAGATAGAAAAAGACAAAGCGGATAAAATAATTCATTTATGAAGTACAAATGTTTTTCTGTGCCAAACATTACTATACTCAGGATAAAGAAGTAAATAAGACAAATATATTCCCTGACTTATTGAAATTAAGTTTAGTAAGGAAGACCTATATGTTTTAAAAAGCATCATATATGTAATTATAAATTATAATAGTCTATTGTGGCAGAAATTGCTAATGATCCCCACTATTTATTTCCTCCTTCTTACTCAGTGCCAGTGTCCCTGAATTTTACCTGCCTATGACCCCCTGGAATAGACTACACTTCGCAGCCTTTCTCACACTTAGTTGGGGGAGTCACCTGACTAAATTCTGACCAATGAGGTGAACTGGAAATGGTGCAAGAAACAACCAGAAAGCTACTGTAAAAATAAAGAGCTTGCTCTCTGTTGTTTTCCCCCTTCTTACCAGATGGAGCAGCTATTTTGGACAATGATGTGGAAGCTTCCTGCTGTGAGTGGCAGAGAACAGGAGGAGTCTGGGTTACCTGACACTAGGGAACCACCATCATCAGCTCTAGGCCACCTTACAAAGCTTTACATAAAATTCTCCCTTGTTTAGGCATCTTTCTCTTCCAGTTTTCAGTCAATCACAGCTGAGCCTAATCCCAAATGGTGCACCTCTGAAGGAAAAATGAAGGGTTCAATGCGAGACGGTAACAGAAATAGCGATTCTGACAGGAGAAGGGGGCTTCAAGGGACAGCTCCCATGAGGACGTAATAATTAACCTATGGCCTGAAGCCTGGCCAGAGCACCAGGTGAAGGGAGGTGAGGTGGCAAACTCTTCCAGGCAGGAGAAACCAAACATGCAAATACTGTGGCTTATGCCTAAATTACCACAGGGAAAAGCAACAAACCTTGGGGTGTCAAGCTTGCTTCTACAGTGAATCAGGGTGAAAGCAGAGCAACTGAAGCAACTAAATGCATTGTGTCCAATATCAGAATTTCTACTTGACAAGCCACACCATAACGGTATGAAACTGAGAATGAACCCTGTTATAGAAATTAATAGTTGCTACTACAATTCAGCATTACCTGTGTTTAAAACAGTTGGATTCTCTGATTAGAGAGGTTTAAATACCATGAAGATAATGTCATTTTAAGTGCTAACTATCCATGGAACAGATGAGTCTGGTGTAAAAAAAAATTAATTTTTAAAACTTATTTCTGGGCATACAAAGGAAACATACAATGTAAAGAACTTAGAAAATATATGCAAGAATACAGAAAAATACGACACCTGTAAAACTCATCACCTCCCAACATTTTATACTGACTTTATTTTTTAACATTCACATACCTACATTTATATATACACAATACACATGCAAAAAGGGAATATAATACACTAAATTGTGTGTGCTTTTTCACTTATTTTCTTATGGCACAATCTTATGTCATTGAAACAGTTTTGGAAACTATGATATTTAGTGGCTATATAACATGCAATTTATTTAGCCAATCAACTGTGGGGATTTCCTGAGTTAAAACTGTCAGCTATAAATTGAAACCATGTGGTCAAGAAGCTGACTTCAAAATCTGCTACGGAAAGTTTCTATTCAGAAATTTCAAGATACCATTTGTAAGTACTGAAACTTTATAACCAAAATTTCAATGAAATTCACTAAGTTTTAGCCATGAAGAATGTTTACTAAAGACCATGTTTTTCCCATTGAAGAACACCTTTTCATAATTAATCTTGAGAAAGAAATGAAAGAAGTACTAAAGACTGAGGTCACAGTAATAATTAAGAACTAAGAAGTGCCTACTGTAAGTCTCAGCAATTCAATTTTCCTAATAAAGCAAAATAAGATAATAAGATAATATATGTGTCTATTACTTGTATAATTAAATATTCAAATGGCTAAAGAAAAGATTATAGGAAAAATGCATCAGAAAAAGAATGAAGCAAATGACAAAGGGTTAATAAATGTTAAATCTGAAAGTTGACATTCTTTAACCTTTTCTGTATTTAAATCTTTCTCCCCCACCTCTCCTCCTAAAAAATTAGTGTTAAAGTATTACTCATGTGAATAAGGTACTTTAGGTTTTAGTTATTAAAGTAGAAGGAAAATCAATAAGTTTTGCCAGAAGCTAAATGGACCTTTTGGGATGAAAAACAAAAAGCTGGGCACACAGCATTCAGAGTTTTTCTTAAAATAAAACTATTTAAGCTAAATATCAGTGTTTCATATTAGAATTAAGTCTGAAGACTTAATGAAGGTTTCAGCTTTTGAAGGTTATAGTATGCTTTCTTCAAATACTATCCTACCTGAAAAATGTATTTTCTCTATCCAGAAGGTTCAGTAAATTGTATTTCAGTTTCTATCCCAGGTCTCTTTACTAAGGACTTCCTGATGCTAAACACATGTTTTGAAATTCCAGTTCTGAAATCCAGACTTAGTTTAAGTGACAATTAAAGAGTTTGCCATTTGATGAAATCACTGAAAATTTTAATTAATTGGAGTTCCTAATAAAAAGATTAAATAAAAAGTTATGGAAATAAACCAAATCTTTACATGAGTTTTCCTAAACAAAAATTTCAAATAAATATAATTCCTTAATTGCTCCATTTTCCCCAATGTAGCCTAGGATGCCTTACCTTTGTGACAGCACCCTCCACCCCCTACTCCACTAATCAGTTTTCACCTCCTTTCTCTGCTGGAACACGTGAATTTTTCAGCAAAAGTGACTCATTTATTGGCATCTTGTCAAACTAATCCTGAAACTCTAAGGAAGTTCAGCACTAAAAGAATTCTAAACCTAGAACAATTTTGCTAACACACATCATTTTGATTTGAGACCTGAATCACTTTCAAGAGCCCAATACATTCTAACAAACTCTGTTTATATTTTTCTTACAAAATGTACTCCACCATGCCGCCTCCTCCCAACTTGAGTTTGGCAAGGCAAGATGAGAGAGTTTAGAAGCATAAGAACAGGAGAGTTTAGAAGCATAAGAACTTTTGCTGAAAAAAGAAACTATTCACTCAGTTTGGGAAAAAATTCTATTCTGTAACATTAAACACCAGTATATGTTTCAGAGTCCTCAAAGTTTGTTTCTCCCCTAGTTTGATAAAAACAAAAAGCAATACACTAATTTCTAAAAAATAAAAACAAAAAAATTAGAAATTTCATTGCTATTATTTCACCAAATAAAAGTTAAAAAAATAAATTACTGAGAACTATTTGGTCAAAAATCTTTGATAAGATGGCACTAGTATAAACTATCAACTGCAAATCACCTTATGCTTTTGGTTCACACACTTAGCCACTACAAGACAGAAAACTGCCCCTTTTTCACCAAAGGGAGCACAATGAGAAAGAAACAAGAAAACAAATGCTTCATAAGACGTTTACTTAGAGCTCTAACAATTGTCACACTCCACCTGGTGGCAGGAGCTGCCTGAACTGATGAAGTGGAGGTCATCACACAAAAAATTCCAGAGAACAGTTTCCTGAATGTCTTTAGAAAATAGCAAGATGCTTTTCTCTTGCCCTATATAGAATAAACCTAAAAGGTTCTACCAAAGTTCTCTCACATAATAGTAGGTCAATATCTAATAAAGTTCAGCAGAGATGTATGACAGTAATCAGAATGAGAGACCCACATTTAGATAAATCTATTCACAACCATTCTCTCCACACTAAGTTAAATGTCATCTCAAGTCTTTAAAACAGGTAACAAGACACATACAGCTGCTACATGATTCTTTATCACATACTCCCACTAACTTTCTTTACCCTTTTCCCCTATGGGTAAACTAGAGAGTTTAATTAACACAGTTAACAGCAGCCTGCCACATTGCTTTTAGATATTTGCCAGTAACATATACCCATGGGATACTCTAGAGACTGATTTCAACCCAAAATAAAAATAGATAAACAGAGCTCAAACAAAATTAAAACTGAGTCTGGCTGCCCACACTTATTTTCACACATGAGGAAAAATAGCAGTTCTCCTAGAAGCCTCGAACAGACATATCTTTAGAACACAATGTTAAAAATATGCCCCCCCCTCCTTTTTTCCCCTACCTGTTTCTCACTCAAAGCTGTGATTTTGGCTTGGAGTTCATGAAGCTGTTTCTTTAAATCAGCATTCTGATTGGAAAGAAAAAATATCTGTGAGAAAGATATTTCATTTGTTAACAGCATAGTAGCAAGAAGACCTTATGCATACTGTATTACAAATGATGAAGCAACCTTAAGCATTTAGCCAATCAAATTTGTCATGCATTAAACTGTAGGCATATTATCACCACCTAATGCACAGCTTCTAAATGTAGACTCCTAGTACTAGAACAGAAGCAGTTTCTTTGCAATAGTTTTAAATTACATCAAGTTTTATATTTTAGCATCTTGCACTGTAATAATACCCCTTCTTACTAAAATATTATTATTCTCTATAGCAAGCATCAGTTGACTGAAAACCTAAAGCTCCACTAATCAGACAAAAGCAGGAAAATGGAAGTTATAAGTATGCATACACTGCATGTTTAACAGCATTATCAATAAAGATAAGAGGTTTTTCTCTTCTTGCCCTCTCCCTTATTTAGTAGAGTACATTTGTTATTTTAGCCTAGATTTGAAAAGCTGTCAGTGCTGCAACTGCCTTAACACTACATCACTCAAATTAACACACTGACTACTAGGGCATTTTCTCAGTTCTAAAATTCTAGGAATCAAAAAAGAATACTATTTTAGATGAGATACATTGAGTATGCTTGCCTTTATTCAAGTGGGGGGAAATCCAAAATTAAAGTTTTCAAATGCTTAATTTAGCAGAATAGCCTACTACAGATTGAATATCACCCCAATGAGAGACTATTTTTATTGTTTCTTAAATAATTCTCTCAGTTCACCCTGCCTGCTCTGAGGGGGTTGGGGCACACATCCCTACTCCTGATGTTTATTCCATGTGGTCTTTTTTTACCAATGTATTTGACAGAATGCCTCTCTAACACTTTACCCACCAGATTATCAAACAACTTACTGGCCCCAGATTCTTTGGGTTAAAACTGTTTTATTAAATGACCACCAGTTATATCATAAACACTAAAGTTTTAATGATACTTCAATTGCTGACAATACAGGTTACCATATTAAATAAATAATTTATTAATCTAAGGTCCTGCACCTCTTGATGTCCTAAATCTAATTTAAATTATAATAAATTAAAGTAAATAAATAAAAATAGAGACACATCTCATAGAAGATGGACTACCGAATAAAAGTTAAGTATGAGCCACCAATGCCAACTCTCAGAATCAATGGATTATGTCAGAATAGTGAGAATGTGTGCTAAATTCCTAGTCTTATACTATCCACACTTATGACCCATCGTCTAAAGGCTGCAAAAGAGACAATCCCCTGAATAATTATAATCATCAAAAACATGGTAACATTTTAGGAAGATTTCTCTTTGGGGATAGAGAACAAAATGCTTAAGTAAAAGCTCCTATGAGAATTTAAAGGAAAGGTAACACTTGCTAGTTTATTATATAAGATACTTTTAAACCCTAAGGAATCTTTTAAAAACAAAAAAAGTTATAATAGCTTTTAAAAAAACTATTCTAAATTTTCACCCTAAATATAACGGGATTAAATATTTAAAAGTTCTAACTGTATTTGTATTTTAGCTATGAAAATAAAAATATAATTCTGGGCTATAAACAATAACTTTGATTAACATAATAAAAGTAACAAAGATGAAATGATAGCTATATTATAGCAGAATGATTGTATTTCTAAACCATTAAAAAAGCAATGTGGTAAAAAATTGCTAAAAGATGACAGTTTTAAGAGCTTGAGCATTAGTTCATATTTAATTATTTTATTGTTACTTTAAACTTTTAATTTTAGAATTAAATTAATAAAAGCAGTATTTTACCTGTGGATCCTGCTTCATCTGAGCAACCAGTTTCTGTTAATAAAGATTAAAATAAAGAGCCATCAGTCTTACATATTAACTCATTGTGGCTAATCAGATTCAGCCCCCAAATCTAGAGTTAAATCCATACACAAAAAATAAGAATACAGTCAGACTATCCCCAAACTCCTGTGATCCATACAAAGGTTAATCACACATTCCTCTTAGTATCTTTAAAAAAAAAAAAAAAAAAAGAATCCCACTTCTTTATGTTGGGAAGGGAAAGCTTCTGCTTTTTCTGCTTTTTAACAAATCTGGGATTTGAGGGGGAATGAGGACTTTAAAAAGGCAATTTAAACAAGCTGCAAGCTCTAAAAAGCCAAACATCCTTTAAAATGTTGTCATTGTCTAGAATCCCAAACAAGGCCTGGAAAGAAGCTGCTCTCACACAAAACAGGCCTGTCTGGATACAGCAAAGCACAGATTTGGCAAGTCTGTTAGTTTGGTTCTTACCACAGAAGGAGTCTAAGTGTCAGATGTGACTTTATCACTGTCTTCTGTGTGTGTGTGTGTGTGTGTGTGTGTGTGTTGGGAGTGGAAGTGGGGAATGTGTTCTGTGGGTGCTCAGCATTTGTGAGCAAGGAATTGAAGGAGTAACAATGTATAACTCTACTACCTGGGTTCCTCTGGGAAGGGAAGTGCTATGAAAATACTGAATGACCAGGACATTTACTAGGGAAAACAGAAGTCCAAACAAATGAAAACAACTGAAAGAAAAAAGGACATCGTTTGACCTAAATGGACTTGTAAAAGTGTCACTGCCCAATAGTAACAATAACGAGGAAAGGAAGAATTTGAAGGATAAAGGAGTATCAGAAGGCTGATTCCTAAAAGTATCTAGGAACAAGTGGTTCCCCAGGAAATTTTTCATGTAAATGAAAAATCTGTCACTCTGTGGTGACAAGGCCTTTTACAAAATTGTCATAAAAATCTTTCTGAAATATATACTAAACTGGGCCCTCCCTGGTAGCACAGGGGTTAAAGTCTCAGTGCTATCAAGTTCTCACCAGCCACTGAAACATAAGTTAGATCTCTGGCCAGGAAGGTGACCCACATGGCCCAATAGACCTCTCCTGTCTCACCCACTGCTCCCCTCAGCAGTGTATTTCAGTTACTCTACCTGTTCTGCTCCCCACTCTGTCTCTGGTGAATCCCCTCATCCCCACATCACTGGCCTGTACCCCCATTCTTGTATGCATAAATAAATTTTTAACAGTGAAATAAACAGAATATATACTAAACAACATCTTAAATAGAAAAAAAAATTATTAGAAGCACAATCACATCAACTCATTTACTACTGTACAAACAATGTAACAAAGTACAATTAGGCATAAAACTATTTTAAAAGTCCTTGGATTTCCTTTTTGATTTGACTACCAGAGTTTGTTCATATACTAAAGCTGCTTTGTTAAAACTGAACAGGGCTTTCTTCTATGACACAGGAATTTAAAAACTGATAGCCACACTAAGTCTTCACCTCTGGAGGAAAGAAACCAACTTTTCTATCTTGCAGCAGTAACGCTGCATTTCAGACCATCAGAGGCAGGACTGGACAAGTTGGGCAACTTAGCTGGACCATGTAAACTCCCAGTGACTTGAAGCTGACACTGTGTTACCAAGGTTAAGTTACTTTCTATTACATGAATGCAGCCTTTTCCAATAGGTATATAATATACATTATACCAAGAGTTGGTATAGTACACATCCCATAGTCAGATCCAGTTTTCTACCTGCTTTACTTGAACACAGCTACACACATTCATTATGTACTGTCTATGGCTGCTTCATCTTTATAGCAGCAGAGCAGAGTAGATACCAGACACCATGGATAACTTATAAAGCATAAATATTTTATTTGGCCCTTTCAAAAAAACTTTGCTAACCTCTACTTCATACTTGTCTCCATGCAATGCAGAGTAAATACTTAAAATTTAAATATGGCTTGCAGAGGGCCTCCCTGGTGGTGCAAGGGGTTAAGTCTCAGCACTATCAAGCTATCACCAGTTACTATAGCATGAGTTCGATGCCCAGCCAGGGAGCTGACCCATGTGGCACAGCAGACCTCTCCTGTCTCTCCTGCTGCTCCTCTCGGCAGTGTGTTTCAGCGGATCTGCCTGTTCTGCTTCCCATTGTCTCTGGTGAAACTTCCCGCCCCCACCTTACCTCTGGTCTACATTCCAGTTCTTATAGGCATAAATGAGTAAATCTTAAAATATATGGCTTCCAGAAATCTACATAACAGTCATAAAGGGGAGGAAAAAAGGGCAATCCCCCCCCAAAAAAAAGTCCATTACCAGTCATTATTATGTAAACATTTACTAAAGACCAACCATGCACACATTACTTCTTTCTTAACCATCTTCCTGTCCATAAAGAACAAAAATGTATTTCCAACACGGCAATACCATGTAGTTTCTCATTAAAAACTTTGATCCAGTAAGCTCAATTATAGCTATAATTTCATTCGTGAGGAGGAAATGAATAAAGGGGTGGCTCTGCCCCAAGATTTAGTCAAATGTATGATATAACTTCATTTCTGACATCCATGAACTTGGCATAATTAGTTCAGGTAGCAGATAAGAGTAACAACATTAGCTACAAATAAGGCATGTCACTTGCACATACTGTTAATACTTAGAACTGTTCAAAACTAGTGTTCCAATGTAACCAAGAGTGAAATAAATACTTCAGATGTTGAAACACTATCAGCACATAAATGCTTATCACTGTACACAAATGTTGTGTATTAATTAAGGGTAAGTATAAGCTATTTATTTTATGCTAAAAAGGTAAATATATAGGTGAAAAGCTTCTGTGACTATTAAGTGGCATAACCTTCAGAAGAATATTATACCCTTTTGAAAAAATGTGATTTTAGGACAGTATAAACATTAAAATTTTCAGAATTGTGATTTTCATAAAGTAGTCCTAAATTCAAACTATAAAACAGTATCTAAAAACTTTAATTTTTAGTAATCTAGTTCAATTTAGGTAATGAATATTTCAAGGAAGCCTTATTTAGGACTTATTTCTTATGATGATTTACTAAAAGCACAATGTTAACTCTGCCATCTCAAAATTTCTTTGAAATATTTCCAAAATCACACACACTTTATTAAATCATGTTTGATACATGCAAACTTCAGGCTGATTGCTGTTCTCCAGGAATTCATTCTATGAAGATGTCAATTCTGAATAAACTGAGAATTTAACTGTTGTCATTTAGGCACACTGGGTATCCAATACACTTCTATTGTTGAGGGGAGAGGATGTCCTGAGCAAACTCCACTAACTGGTTTTCTGGGTCACACCACCACCCCAGACCAAAGAAATCTGAGACACCAGGGAATATAATTCCATAATGTTCGGCACTACCAAGGGGAAAATGCTGGGAACTGAGCATGGAGTTAAGCAGCAGGTTGAGTATATAACCAGACATGTGGACCTTGGGGATGCCTGGTTTTTCATCGGCTTTCAGTGTGCTACTCGGGTTCCAGCTCGGTGGAAGTGGTAGGATGCATTTACCCAACTTGTCTCTATCTTTCTCCCTGAGTTATTAATTTCTTCATTTATCCTTTTGTAAAGAAACCCGTTATTAACCCTTTTGTGTGTGCCTGCAGCTGAATCTCATGTTAAGTCCCTTTGAAGTATGCGGGTGAGGACCCAGAGTCAGGTCAAACCATTTCACACTGGAGTCACCCCATTATCACTGTTAATAGACTTTTGTCCACAGAAAAGAGAAGCTTGTTTTTATAGATTTTTATTCTCCTCAATTAGTATAAAACCAAATAAAATAGAATGTACATAACCTATATACTAAACTTCTTAAAGTTCATAAAAACAAAATACTTCATAGAGTAGACCTCCTATACACAGGAAACTCGAAGACAACTACTGTAAAAACAGTTTAGTAAGATTCAGTGCAGTAGCAGGGATTTCTGAACATATAGCGATTCAATGTAAACAGTAAATACAGATAAAGTGCTTTTGAAGTTTTCCTATAAAGTCTCATCTACTCTAATTCTGGTCAACTTGTAAATCTAGTAGCTATCAAGGTTTTCTTAAAACAATTTCAGAAATTAACCTTACAATATAGGCTATTCACATAAAGCAAAAAACTATACCTAAGAATACTTTTAAAAAACAGTTTACTTCTGGTTCTCCACTCTCACAACCTGAACTGCTGTACATTCAAAGAAGTCAATTCATCCTTTATTACTTTTAATTACAAAGGATTATAAGTGTGTCTCTATTTTGAATCTACAAGCACATCTAGCTAACTCTAGAAAACATATAAAACATATTTTTATATAGTAAGTTAATGATTTAGTTAAGGATAGCTTTTTGTCTCAGTTATATTTACATATAGTTAAGACATACATGTCTAATTTTAAGTATTTTATACATTTATGAGTAACATAAATATTGCATCAAAATTTAACTGTTAATATATTTTATTTACTTTTACATTTGCATATTAAAGGCTTAGCCTAGGGACTTGAGGTAAAATATGTAAAAATTGTGAAATTTGAAACTTAAACATTTGTGCAGTCAATCATACTTTCATTATTAAAGATGGAACTCAAGGTATAAATTCAGTGAAGCTGAGTTGTGAGTAAAAAAATCAGTATATGTATGAAGTAAAGTATCTCTCATTATTTAAAATATGCATGTTAAGTCACAGGAACAAAGTCTCTCAATTGAACCAAAATAAAAAAAAGGTTTTCTTAAAAATATTTTCACACATGAAAAAAAAGTTCAGTTAAAGTTTTCAAAACTGAGTTTGTTAAGTAGTGATTGATACAGGGCAAATGATATGTCCCTTGGACAACAGTGTCAAAGACAATTAAAAACAGCACTAAAACCTAAATGGGCCTCTCTACTAACCTTAGCCAATATTTAATAATATGATTTTGGAGCAGCCAATAATGCAACATACCTGGTGAACCTGAATTTCCACTTTAAGCGCCTCCTGTAGAGTCTGCAACTCCATCCTCCACCTTCTCCACTTTCTCTTATGTTTGCTAATTCTATCGTTTCTTCAGCCTCTGTTTAAAATAACAAATTCTTCTCACAGCAGCTGTAAAGATCACAAAATTTTTTGTATTATTATGTTGGGCATAACATAAATACTCATGTTAAATTTTAAAAATTACTAACTATTCTCTAGCGCAAGGCAAGAAATTCCCAAAATGAAATGCTTTGTACTGAAATCTGTACCAAAATTTCCTGAGTTTTATTCTTTGAATGTCCCTCTATAAAGCACTTCCGTGAGTAAGAAAGGGGGGGGAATATATTTAAGTTGGTCACGAAAACATCTAAGCACCTACTATGTATTAGCACTGAGCTACATATGACATTCACAGGACACAGCGGTAAACAAAACCACTTCCACCATAGAAAAGAGTACAGACAGTGAGAGTATAATCATCCAGGACACAATGTCCTTTAAAAGACACAAAGCAACATGGTCACACATTTTTCAACATCACACAGAGTGAACTGAAGAGTTCAGGGTCCCTCAGAGGTTAAACAAGCCTAATGTACTCTCATTTGGATGGACTCCTTACTGTTTAAAAAACAAACTCAAAGTGGGCAAATTCTAGTAATAACTTAAAGGTTTACATTTAGTTAATAATTTAAGAGTTAACACAAATAACAATGCAATGCTGACTGTGCTGTCCATAGGCATTATTTTAAAAAAATTACTGTACACACAGATGAGGTAGGCTAGCGATGGGACGGCCTTTCCATCCGCTCAAGTGTGTTAGTGTGGTCAGTGTGTCACTTTGGCTATCCAGATAAAATGCATGTGAAAATAATGTCAAAAGTCCTGATGTGTGAATGTGAACCTTCCTCTTCTCCTCTGCCTATCACTAGGCAATTTAAATTAGCTTAATGGCTAATTTTGTTTAATTTGTTTTCTTTTTTTCTTGAATAAGGGATTAGTACTTCAGGTACTCTCCCAAAGCAAATGTTTGTTTTTGCTTGAATTAATTTAAACTTTACATCTTTCTCTTTTCTTCTTTGTACCTATGAAAGTTATAGTTAGAGCAGCTTTCAGCATTCTTTCCAACTGAGGAAGGGAACAATCAGGAAATTAGAAGAACACTATGACTGATAACCATTACACTTTCTGAAAATTATTTACATGTGGATAACATCCATATTCAACCTGTTTTTTATAAAAAAAAAAACTGATATAATGGAATATTAACTGGAGAAGTTCGCTTGTAAAGATTAGTTCTCATATTTGATTAATCTAGCTAGGCTTAAAACATCAGTGATAATCTCTTTTCTAGGGCTTATAAATTATGCTATTAATATCAAGATACTCTAACCTAAAATAAAAGAGTTCAAAACTCCTTTTCAACCTATCTGTGGAGGCTAGGAAAGGATAGCTGTACAATGATACTGTCAACCAAAATGTTTCATAAAGGTAGTATGTTTAGAGGAAGTAATTTGAAAAAGCAGACATTTTTATTAACAAGCCTGGGTTTCTAAGCTACTCACTATCTTAGAGAATCTTGGGAACTGTAATAAAAAATAAGTATCAGAATCGCTAAGTTACTGACTTAGCCCAAGATTTTGTTTTGTAAGTTTACATATAAAAACTAATGTTAAAAGCATAGTTACTTCACTTTTAAATAGTAAATAATCTCCCTATGCAAATTCTTAACATATATTAGAGCTGTTCTTGAAAAAAGTTTTAGAATAGTGTTAGTTTTTTACAAGGGTCTATCAAAAAGTGTGTCCAAACATGATTTCTTATAGTATCAGTCAAGTGAAGACCTCATCTTGATGTTGAAGGGATATTTTGACAACATGAAGACCATATTTTATTTTATTGGTAATAATATATAAACATCAAAGCTCAGCTCAACTCATATTAACTCTGGAAACAAACAGCAGGTTAAAAACATCTAGAACTTTATACAAAATACACAAAAAAAGATTAACTAGTTTGTGTAGTCAGTATGCTCACAAATTTTTAACTGTGAGAAAGCAGTTCACAGAAGAAATGTGAAAAGCCAACATAAATAAAAAACATCTGTTTTCAACAATCATAGAAATGCAAATTTTAAGAAGTTTGTTTATCACAGTAATAGAGATTTGTGAACAATAATAATGCCTGGAGTGTGGGTCAGGTGGCAATTTTATATTTTCCTTTAGGTTATCTGGGTGGGAAGACAAAGCTGTATTTACAATATTCTTTTCAAGATACAGGTATCTTCAAATTTTCCATTGAAAATACACAATTATTTTGAAATAAAAAAAATTAAGTGAGGATTAATGAAGCATTAGGAAATTTTCAACAATGAAACAAAATGCTCAGAAAGAAAAAGTAAAACCACGTTTTAAGCCAGACACTCAAAATGTCCAGAGTCCCTTGCAGGTAAGCCTGCAACTCAAATTGAAGAGGAGCTGGCATCTTTTATTTCCTCCATCAGATTAGTGCCTGCTTATTAGAGATACATAAAGAGAAGCTTTGTTTGGTAAGGATTCTAAATATCTTTTTTTTTCCAAATTAAAACTAAAGGGTTAAAAATGATAAACCTTGTTATAGAAAAACTTAAGAAGGATTTGAAGATACACATGATCTCCTCTTTCCTCAAAAAGGTCTCTTTCTGGACAGCATTTTAAGAGACTGGTTTCTGCCTAAAGGAACAAATAATATATATAAATATATATATATATATATATATATACATATATATATATATATATATATATAAATTTATAGCTTACCAAAACAAGGCAAGCATATGTTGAATCTTTTTAAAAACCATTTCAGGGATTTACACAACTCATGCATTCATCATTTGAAGCCTGAGGGTAGTTTAATAGCATCATAAAGGGAGGCGTTATTTGCTAAATTTTTTAAAGATAGGTTATCAAATTTTGAACAATTTTAACAAGCTCCTACAAAATAAATGTTAACACACCCACAAAATAATGAATAGACACACTTTATCAAAATACAATACTTTTACCATCCAACAACTCTGAACACTATCAGAAAGGACAACTGCCTGCACAAAACACTAGCCTGTTACCTTCAAAACAACACATGCCAAACAACCAGGATACCTAATGCCTAGTGGCCTTCACTTACCTTCAAGTAACAAAATGCAAAACATAAATTAAAAAATTCCTATAAGCCAGTCAAACAAAAACAATAATCAATTCCACTAAAAAAAAAAAAAAAAAGCAGCTGGGATGTCGGAAAAGAACATTCATTGTTCCCAAAAAACAAACCCAAAATTCTACTTACTCCCTGTGAAACTATTCTTTGTCTTGATTTTTTTTTTTTGCTTATAAATCAGAAATGGGAACAGTATCACTATTTTCAGAGACTGTTAAACAGTTAAATAAGGTGAAAAGCCACATCTAAATTATTAAGTTCTATGCTTTTTGTTAACTTACTCATATTCAAACACGCTTTTAATAAACTTCTCAACACAGTACATTTGCTTTCCTATTTTAAAATGTTTTCAAGAAAGGGGCTTCTAACTACTTTTTGGGGTTTAGTTCCACTTAGAGATATATGAATTTTAGAGTTTTCATTATGATTCTAATAATGTGTAATGCATAATTATGAATTTACTGCTAAAAAATACTGATTTTGAGTTGATCTAAACTTTTCCAATCAAAATCTGAGTTAACCAATAATTTCTTTAGCAATAAACCTTTAATATGTTGTGCCCCCATACTGAATCCCCTAAAAATGGATAGCTCCATATTTCTTTGGTGTTAAGACTCTGTCACTGATCTATATTTTCAGAATAGTGCTTTTTTTTCTTTTAAATTGAGCAAGTAGAAAGGCTTTATACTCACATGCTTAGCAATAAAATATAGATTCAAGTTTATGCAAACTATCTTGCACTGTATTTAATATGCAGGGAGATAAAACAGAGTCTTTGAATTTTAACTTACCTAAACTAGCAGTGCTTAGAATGATCAATGATGCTAAAAATAGTAATTATTTTAGTATTTATTGGCAATTATAACATTAAAAAAAGAAAATATTAACAATATACATAATTTGTCTTATTTTCATACTGGTACTTCTCTGGTGACATCCCATGGTCAACAGAAAACGCTAATGCACAAAGAACTTGGTAATTCTGATTTCAGAGGCTGCCCTTTGGATCTGGCAAGATTACTATGCTCAAATCCTGGTTTAAGACCTGTTTTCCAAAATCATCTCAGCTAGACAAGAGATGGTTATTTTCTAAATATTTAACTTAATATGTGTACATATGTATGTATATAATGTGCAGACACATATGTAGATTTATGAAGACTGAATGTATTTCACTAAAAAATATGCATCTTTCCTTTTTACTTTTTATTTTTGTAGGGGAGGAGGCCAGGTCTCATTTAAAACACAACAAAAAGCCTACACAGTTCATATGCTTGCAACACAGGGTGTGGTATCTGGGGTCAAGTCAGGGTTTCCACGCAGCCTCTCCTTCACAGACTGCTGCCCCGCTCCTTACCACCTGTGTTCATTACAATGTACAGTTTCTACCTTAGCTGCCTAGGCACAGGCCTAGGCTACATACACACATTCTTTGATTTCCTACCCTTCTTTTCAGAAATAAAGTACTTCTAAAATCATGCCAACTACACCCAACAGGAACACTGAAGGGAAATTTAAAAGTCACAGAAGTTCAAAAGTTGGAGAGCAGTGTGTACAAGTTTAGTGACAATGAGGCTCAGATTTTAGACTTAGTTGTTAAATTTACTAGACTGCTATTTAATGACCAAAAATTTAAAAAAAAAAAAAAAAACTAGTCCAGACAAGCCTTGCCAGAATCATATAAATATTTTACTATACAAAGGATAACACAAGAGGGTGTGGTAGTGTCAGCATAACCAATAAGAACTTAACAGAAGTGGAAATTATGGGGTATAGATTTCAGATCAATTTAAGGAAGAGCTAAGAATTAGAGCTGTACAAAAAAGGAATGGGTTACCTTATGAGGTAGTGAGCTCCCTGTCATTAGAAGGATTCAAGAATGCTGCATATCATATCCCCCTCTTGGAGATTCACAATGCACATTAGCATATTAAAGGTTCTGAGAAGTCCTGCAGTAAAGAAACCTGTTTAACTTTGTTTATGCAGCATTTCCCAAATTATTTGACCACAGAATATTTTTCCACCCCTCCCACCCCCATCTCAGTAATATTTATTCATTTCTGTGGAACTAGAGTTCCTCAGAATACATTCTAGAAAATAATAAACTACACTTTTAAGAAATATAGTATTCAGTATGTACCCACATAACAATCTGACAGGGAAACAGGAGAAGAAATTGCTATGCTGCATAAAAGGGTGGAAAAGAAGGCCCTCAAGGTCCCTTCTCTAAGATGCTGATTCTATTACCTCTTAAAGTAAAGGGCTATCGGATCTTGATTATTTTAAAAGGTTCCATGAGAGAAAGGCAAGTAGAATAAAAAGGTAGTAAAATACCCAAGACTAGTTCAAATACCTCTCTTTCATGTTCAATGCCCAGTCCTTAAAAAGTAAGAGACAACTCAAGGAACTAAGTCATCAAAAGGAAGTCTTGACTGAGTATCTACTCCATCCACTGATCCAATTGAGAGAGAGAGTTAAAAACAAAAAGACTTGGCTTCAATTAAGGAACTACCTATTCCAGTTATCTTGGGTTTAATTTTTTATCATAAGACATGCTTTCTAAATAAGGTTAATATCTGTTTGATCCTTAGCCACTAGACTGTCCTGTGCAACATGTGACCTTGAATTAGATTCAAAGAAATGATTGGTTGGGATGATCTATAAGCTGTTGGAGTATGCTGAAGTAACTCTTAGGGGAAAAAATGAATTTGCCTACATGCCTCAAACTGCTACATTTTTTTCCTCTCTCTCTCTTTAGTTTTTACTCTTTAAAGATGATACAAAACAACACACACTAAAAATATATTATCAGACATGAAGGCAATCCAATATTCAGTTTAAGAAAATAAATGCTGAAGAGTTCAGATTCCCATAGTTAAAATCATCTAGTCATTTTTGCATATATATATTAAGGCCATCAAACTTAACAGCATATTAAATAATACAAAACACATTGGGAACGGTAACTTTTGAATTTCCTGACTTGAATTTTCAGTCATAACCACTGCATTAAGGACATTTTGGCAAAGGGGACCTTTACATTTTAACAGGTTATCAAATGCAGGAACATGCAAGTCTAGCAGTATTATTAGAAACACAAGTGCATCAGAGATATGACTATGTGAAATCAAACAAAAATTCACTTTTATTCAGTGCAAAGAGCAAAGCTTCGTTTCCTAGAGAGAGCTCTTTTAAAGGGACAAAAAACAAACACTGAATGATTTGAATTATCTAACACTGCACCTGCCTTGCAAAGGTACTTACCAATTTTGGGGAAACTGGCTCTCCTTCAACTCTCTTGCTCTCTAAAACAATAGAAGGGAAACACAGAATTAGTCCACAAACAGATTTATGACAGGTCATAAATAACTTTTCCATCTGATTCTAAGGAAAAACCAAAACACACAAATGCTTTATATCCAAAAGAAAAAGAGAGAGAGAAAGAGACAGGTAGTGTCTACAGAAAGTAAAGAATTCAAGGGCAGTTAAAATCTCTAATTTTCCACAGCATTTTTAAGGCAAGGAAAAGTAGCTGATTGCTATAACCTTTCCTCACCTATAGAGCACAGAAATACACACTTATTCCCAACAAATGATCTCCACCCACTGCTCAATGTTATATGAACAAACTAAAGCTAACATCCCTGATCCTTAGTTTGGTCAAAATAAAAAGGCCTTTAAAATTAATCTTGGAATGCACTTGTCTTATAGAAGGAGGCTTTAAAATTCCACTTTATCTTAGGCAAAAGGATGAGAAGTGATAGAAAGAGGCTTTAAAATTCATAGCATTTTATCATATTGAATAGTCAGTTTTCACTCACGTTCTTTAAAGTTGTCCCACTTTATAAGTTACGTAACACAGAAGTGACCTGCCTTGTATCACACACAAATTTAATCCGTGATAGTCATAAAGAAAGAGGGTCTGGGATTCCAAGCCAATGTTCAATAATGCTTTCACCAATTATATTTCTTTAAGTTGACTTCAATGTCTGAAAAGGGAAGTCGGGCTACACAGTTGATTTGTAGCTCTTCCCAGACCCAAACTTTCTAAATGAAAATAATACATAAACAAAATTTAAAACTTTTCTCCTACTATTTAAATTCCATATACCATGATCTAAAGCTAAATTCTTCTGTATGCCTTAAACAATATATGTTGTTGACTGATGTTACTCCACTAAGTGTTCTTATTTCCTCAGGGGTATTTTTAAAAAGTTTCATGTCATTCATATTATAAATTTTTATTTAATATGTATAGTTACACCAAACATAGTAAAATAATTTTAACATTTATTTTCAAAATGAATTTAATTTGCAATTTTATTCTGCCTTGTCTTTAGTAGCAATACTTCTTAAAACTCAAGTCTATATAAATGACAATTTTAATCACCAAGGTTAGAATGACTCCCACCAAGAGAAAAATCATGTAAAAAGCTGCAGACTCATAGGCTGTGTAAAAATGGATTCTCACAATGAAAAAATTATAACTATATGTGATAATGGATGTTAACCAAACTTATCGTGCTATTCTTCATAATATATGCACGTTATCAAATCATAATGTGTATACCTGAAAATAATACAATATTGTATATCAATGTCTCACCTTTAAAAAAATGGATTCTTAAATACTTTGCACACCTTAAACTACTACCAGGCACAAAGTAAATGTTCAGTAAACGTTAAATGAATGAATTGAGTGACACGAAAACTCTATTGCTGGTTTATTTTCCCTATTAAGTATTTCTTATTAGTTCTTTCAGTCTGGGGTAATTTCTTATGCATCAATCTCTCACAGCATTATTTGTTAAATTAATAACTTTGGTTAGAAACAGTTGACTAGGAATTAAAATATTACCATTTTTAAGATATAATGAAAAGCAAAAGACAAATAAATTGGACTAAACTAAGAACTTATGTCCATCAAAAAATTTTAATAAATAAAAGAATGAAAAGACAAGCCACAGAATTGGAGATGATAAATGCAAAAGACACAACAATGGTTTATACTCCAAATATATCAAATAAATTGAAAATTAAAGTGATCAGTATAGAACTGGGATTTTAACTGTTACTTATACAGCATTTTAAAAACATACAGTCACATGAACTCTTCTGAAAAGCCATGTTCAGTAAAAAGGGAGTACAGTGGACTGTACACCTTACCTCCAGGGCATTTTCTCAAAAATCAGTAAAAGAGTCAATCTCAAATTGATGAAGAATTTTGCCATGATTCCTAAAACTGTGTTATCATGAAAGTGCTCACAAAACCACTTATAGCAACTGCAGAAACCACATAGGAAATCAAAGCCTGAGAGGTTAAGTGACTTCCCGGAAGGTCAAACAGTTAGTTGGTGGTAAGGCTGGAAGCACTGACAGACCCCTGAGGCGCCTCTGACTGAGCTGGCCTTTCCACTGAACCTCGCTTCCCTTAACCAGCTGCAGCAGTTGCTCTTCAAGCAACAAACTACAATAAATACTTGCCAAATATTTTTAAGAAAAGCCTACATAAACAGTTTTAAAGGAAAATCATATAAGCAAGCTAAGGCAGGTTTTAAAACTTGAGATTCTTGATGCCAAGAGATCCCATGAATGGGCTGCAGCAAAGTTTGCCAATTCCATGACACTGTACGCTAGATTCTTTATGTATGAAAATCACAGGATGAGGATCCACAGTTTTAATAAGATTATCAAAGAGATTCAGATACTCAAAATGAGTAAATTATTTTTAGAACAGTGATTCTTAAATACTGTGCATCAGAACTATGAAAGTATTTCTTCTGAAGACTGATAAATAACTGATTGATAACAGACTACCCCCTGAAAACTGGTAAAGATAAGCAAATATTTATAAAGAATATTTATTCTGTAATTTAATGATAGCAAGTAAGCTGCAAAAAATACTTATATATAAATGTATGTTTCACATTATCCATATGCAAAACACATTTAAGTATGTAAATTTCCTCACATTAAGTCTATTGAAAGTACACTTAATTTTTTTCTCACATACATTTTGCACTTGTAACTAAGGTAATTCAACATTTTAATCATATTTGCTTAAATTTTAAAAAATAAAAAATATTTTCCTTGAAAAATAAAACACAAGTTGTAGTAAATGAAAAAATTTTTGCTTTTAATGATGAACATTATCTTGCTAACCTAACTTTACAGTTTTTCAAAAACTGAAGATTATTCACCTATCCAGAATTTCACAGGTAGCTGCTTTAGTTAGATCTCATAAAGAACAAATCATTCAGATTTCTGATGTGGTTGTAAAACTTAAAATATTATCAATAAATCAAAGATGATTAATAGCTACTTTCTAAGTACCTTTTATAAAATATCTAAAACCTTTGTATGTGAAGAATATATATTGAACAATAAACAAATATCAGTGAAATAGTTCAACATTAGATCATGTTTTAAATTAGGCTAAATTCATCCCACTACAAATTTCAAACGATTAAGTTTATAGTCTGCTCAATCATAAATTCTGATAAGGGACCAGAATAGCACAGATAATTGTCATTCAAAGACACTTTAAAATGTCACCTTACGCAGAAGATTCCATCTCTTCTACTACACCATACCCTAATCTTAAATACAGTAAGTTTCACTGCTTTTTAGCTATCATTTCTTTCTAATTTCCAACAAACAGGCTCAATAAGTTTGAAATAAACAAAAATCAGGGCTTAGAAGAAAAAGCAGAATCCTGCTGAGATTGAGTTCTGCAGACCCCGAAAGCATCACCTAGCTGCCCCGTCCTTCTTACCCCTCATGGACATCCCTCTAGCACCTTTTCCGTCACTCAGGAAGCATCAATTCTTTCCTTATTGATGGGTCATTCTGTTTCTTCTATTTTGAAAAAGCATTGTAGTTGTGTAAATGATTGACAAATTAATAAAATGTGAGCAAAAAAAGAGAATCCCCCTTTGATTCCGTAGCTTTCTCTAGTTATTGTACCATGTCTTGCTTCATATATGGCAAACTCCCTGAAAGACTTAATCACTCACTGTCTCTAACTCCCCTCCTCTTACTCTTAACAGAATTCACTCAATTAGGGCTTTTGCCTCCTTCCATTACGTTACGATCACCAATGACCTCCCTGTGCTAAATCCAGTAGTGAAGTCTCACTCTTGTCTCCTGCTTCAGGCAGTATCATTTTGCCCAGCTGATCATTCCTTCTTAACTCAGGACACCACCTGCCCTTGATTTTCCTACTAATCACTCTAGCCACTCTTCTTGATTTCTTCTGCTGGTTCTTCCTCATCTCTCAAAGCCTCAAAATACTGACCTGCCCCAAGGCTCAGTTATTGAACTCTTTCAATTAAGTAATCTCACCAGTCTCCTGGCTATAAAATAATCTAGTACACTGGTAACTACCAAATTTTTATCTTCAGCCCAGATCTTTCCCCTGAATTCCAGACTCACAGACCCCACGCCCACTCAACACCTGTCAATAAAGAATGCTTTTCTTTAAAAATCCTTTAAATAGGTATCTCAAGCTTAAGTCCAAAACTCAACTATCTATCCCCTCAGCCTCTTCGTCAGAGTCATCTCCATCTCAATAAATGTCTATACCATCCCTTCAGGCCAAACTTTAAAGTCGTTATTAACTCCTTTTCCCCTATTCTCTCCATCCAATTCAACAGTAACCATGTCCTATCTACCTTCAAAATACACAGATTTTGACCACTCCTCTCAACTCCACTACCTTCTTGGCCCAAGACACCATCATTTTTCACCTGTATTACTGCAGTAGCTCCTAATGGCCTCTCTGCTTCCACCCTCATCCTGATAAAGTCTGTTCTCTAAGCAGCAAGGATGGCCATTTCAAAATCCAAGACAGTTCTTTACACATTTCTCCTCAAAATTCTCACTGGCTTCCCATCACAACCACATGAAAAGAAAATGAAGTTCTTTACAATGGCCAACGAGGCTCTAAGTCACTTGGGCCTGTTATCCTGAGACCGCTTCTCCTCCCCTAGCTCCACAACTCAATCTGCTCCAGTCACACTAGCCTCTTTTCTGTACTTCAGATTCCAAACAAGTTCCTTTCTCAGGGATCTTCTGCTTTCTTTTCACCCCAGCTAGAATTCTATCATTATCCTCATGGCTCACTCCCTCAAAACATTTAGGAAATTTAGAGCATTTACAAGAGTAGGTTACTAAAATAAAGACTGAAACTACCATCAGAACTATTCTCCAACCCAAACTTTTACTCATGCTTTTTCTTGTACCAAGAATACCTATTTCCTTTCTCTCTGCCTATCCAAGTCTTACCCAGGACAGACAAAAGGCA